CGCATCCCACCCCTCTGCGGACCGGCGGGACGAGGGCTGACACCCCACCCTGCACCCTGGCGAGGCTAGCTCGTCGGGACGGTCCACTGTCTGGGAAAGGTTGTTATTCACCCAAGCCTTTCCCATCCCGCAGAGGGCGACTCCTCTCAACCCTCCGCGAGAGGAGTCCCAGCGCGAATGGAGGAAACCGGGCCCTCCGTGCAGGATACCGGGTTCCTCCTTTACTTCGCGTGAGGTGAACCGCAGCGGGTTTTACCAGGTAGGGCTTCCACGTTAACCTGCCCTTTTCAGGGCGGGGTGGAAGAGGAGCCCTGGTTTGAGGCTTAAGGTGCATTTCCCCTGCGTTAACAAAAAAAAAAAAAAAAAAAAAAAAAAGGCCCCCCACAAGGTGGACCGACGATCTGGTAAAGGTCGCGGGAAGCCGCTGGATGCGGGAGGCGCAGGACCGATCGCTTTGGAAATCTTTGCGGGAGGCCTATGCCCAGCAGTGGGCGTCTCTCGGCTGAAGTGATGATGATGATGATGAATGCTGTTCCTAAATAAGTAAGGTTATAATTTTTTACATCTAATAGTAGTCATCCGATGAAAAAAATGCTTTCCTCTTGCCTCAATTTATTATGGTTTGTGTAAAATAATCAGGTCATTATTTAGGTACCTTTCTACGTCTTAGCACGTAGAGTAACAAAGCAAGCAATTGCCGATGTTCCAAAAATCTCATCGTACCTAGCGTAAGTGACGTGTAGCTTCAAAGAGAGCTGCCCTACACTGCGCCGCTCCAATCAAGAAAAAAACGGGCAAGTGCACAAGCTACTCATCCGGGTTTTTCATGTCATTCCGGACTGGAAAAAATAGTACCGCTGGACCTGAAAATTCAGTGTAGTGCACAAGCGCCTTAATTCTAGACTTAAGTGGCTAGCCACAACTCTAAAAACGTTTTTATGAATGAATAAAATATCCAGCTCAGCTCGATGATATAGTGGCTAGCGTGTTAGGTCGTCTATACAGTGCGCAGATTAAACAACTTTCGCATAGCATTGTTTAGTTTCTCTGCAATAACTGAAATTGTAAGGAATTTATTTCAAAATAAATGCTGAGAAAGAAAACGACGAAAATTAAGCTTATTTTCACCCTTAAAAATATATATTAATTACCTGTAAAATAAAACAACCAAATTAATTCTAAAAATAATTTTATTACAAAAAAATACTTTTACTCTACCAATAGTTACATAATATACATAAATTACGTTCATACTGCGCTCTTAATTTACTATCCCTATTATTATGCAGTTTTTTATTATACATCCATTACAACAGCCGTCTATAAAACGATCTATAATTACATAAAACACTAGTTTTCTCCTTTTATTATTTATAACAATTGGTAAAATCAATATCGAAACGAGCTGTTTAAAATAATATTTTAGAAGGTGATAAAAGTATAAACAAAATAAAGTATACAATATTGCACATGAAAAGTAACACCTGTGATTTTTTTATACATATTGCTTCACTGAGGTTTAATTGTCAGACAATTTCCTACATTTATTAATTGGCTTTCTATAAATTATTTTATCCAATGATGTGAACATTTTGTTTTAGAAAATGTATCAACAAAATCGAATAAGATTACAACAAATGGCTAAATATATGAACTTAATTTTGACCTCAACTGTAAACAGATTCAGACTTAAAATCAATCTAAGACCTTTAGGAACCTGACACGTCACTTGGTAATTATTAAAGAGTATAAGGCCAATGTTAAAGTCCAAGAAATCAAACTGAATGACCTTATTCGAATTATTAAAACTTAATAATATAGGAACTGATGCTATTTTGTAAAAAATATGTTTGTTTTCATATCTATTACTAATTTGTAATCGTGAGCAAAATTTAAATTTTGTAGGAGAAATAAGGCTATGTTCAAACCAAACGTAAAGTCTGTCGCCGACTACGAACGAGCGTTACGTTGTTTATTGAAATTATAAAAAGTTATTATTATGTTATGCATAAGCTTGGCGTAAGCGCCAGGGCCGGGTCAAGAGGCGGTGGGCAGGTGACACCGAAATCAAAACTCATAATTACATAATACAGTTTAAAAAAACTAGCTTCACAAAATGTCTTTTAAAATAAAATAGATCCGAGCCTGGTAAGCGCTGATACTCATGTGCCCATTCAATACATCATTACAACGAGCCGCGGACGCTGCTTGACTAGTTGTAAGCTGTACACATTATTAGATTCTAGCGCCCAGCTTATTCTGTGAACGTATACAAGGTAATTGTTTTGTTCACATCATTTGAGTGTTATATACTACAGCGTATTGTCATTGTGAATGAAAGTACAATTCAATTTAACGTTCAAACTGCAGCTCAATGTGAGCCTGCTCACAGTCGGCTGCGGACTTTACGTTTAGATTGAAAGCAGCCTAAAATGTGACTTTTTAATGTTGTATTTTAATAAATATAATGCGAGCACCTAAACTCAAATATAAAATTCATTTTTGCTTATAATCTATGATTTATTATTAGAATCTTATTTTTAATTTGATCATGCATACTTATCAATAAACGGAACACATGCTATAAATAAACAACGAAATTAAAACTAAGTACATTATATGGAATACTTCATTTTAAATATAATATTATGCTCCTGTAATTGAGTTGAAAGAAATGCTTGATTTGTGTTATAAAAAAAGAATATTGCATATATGAATGAATTAAAGGTAACATATGATCATCACAATATTATAAAAAACTTACTCTATAAAAATATCACGAAATTCTAAATGCTAATGTGTATATAGTTAAAAATAAAATTTAAAATAATAATAGTTCGGCTAATTTTGTTGAGATCTCGATATTGCATGAAATGAATGATAAAAATAATAATAGAACTCGATTTTAATGCACTAGTGGCGCAAGTTATTCAATTTATAAACTGTAGAAAAACCTTTTAGCTAAACAATGCATGGCAGTTCGCATTTCAAGTCTGCTAATGCGTGCGCTTGTACAGAATAGAAAAGCAATTCCATAAAAATCCTAACCCGAATTCGAATTCACTTCGAAAGCAATATCCGCGTAACCTTGAATCGGTATTAACGTTTCTTAGCATAAGTGAAGTGAGTTTCGGAATAAAATAGGGATAGAATATGTGATTCATGTATGAATCAATCAATATTGTTGTTTGTATTTTTCTACAAAAAATTGATTCCAATCAATAAAATTTCTACACTATTAATTAAGCGGATGTCGCCTTCGAAATGAATTCGGATTCGGATTTTTACGGAATCGCTCTGCTGCTCATCCTGAGGCTTATACATTGATTGGAGCGATTCGGTGTTTTGTAGTAATCTGACGTACTGTCGACTGCACATTGTAAACCCCGTGAGTACAGTAATACAGTAATCATCATAAGAGGATAAAAGTTCTGATTTCCTATTAATATAACCTCAATGTCTAAAATAGTAATGATAATTTATAATTATTTGACAACAAAAGAAATTATCTGTTCCATTATTTTAAGTGCTGTCACGCCATTATGAAATTAATAATTTAAAAATATTTGTGAAATCTTTGGGAGAGGTTTGTCAAATTTATTACTTAAATAATGTGTATAAGAGCTAAATTGTCTTAGAACATTTTTATAAAACAGGTTCCATATGACAAATCAAGTATTATTGGTTTTTTTAAGCATTTGGTTTAAGTGGAAAGCTCCTTAGTCTATTCTAAGAAAAAATATCTAAATAAAAGAAATATAAACAAGAATAAATAAGATAAACAAACCGATTTTTACTGATCATCGTTATTATTGACAAGAAATAAGAATCCTTCCTTTTCTGTCATACATAGTTAATATGTTACGTATATTTGTTGACATCTTTTGAGTTATACAGGGTTACTTAACTACAAAAACACCAACGATCTCAGAGGACTATATACCTAACATAAACACCGCCGTTCGTTCTACGAGATTCCACTATGCATCACGATTTAATCTTATATTGAAAAAAAATATTTACTGCTCGAATGTTAACTCCACTTGCAATATACTTCACACAGCGTGAGAGCGTAGCTTTGGTAGCATCGTCTTATCACTCATGAATAAGACATAAATAATCAAATTGATTAATTAATTAGAGTATAAACTCGTAGATCAAACGTTATTTACGATGTTATTAGCTATGTAGACCTGCTTGGTTCCTGGTGTTTAAAATTAACCCTGTATATTCTACTGCAGACTTAAAATGTAACGCTAGCAGACGAAGCGCCTTCAGTTTTTTGTCTTTTTTCAAAATCACATTATGACCTATATTTCCGCGTCGTTTTAGGCGTCAATTATAGTTCATTTAACAAAGTTAACGATTCCCCGAGTTAGTTTACATCCTTATCTCGTACATTTCAACTTATTTTTATTTTTGATTGATCGCATCAAACAGAAGGGACTTGTTACAACAATATACTTGAATTAATTACTAATATGGTACTTGTAATGAAGTCGCAAAATATTTATACATTTTCCAGATAGTAGTGGTATATATTCTTTAATATAAACACGAGTAACGAATAACTTCCGCGACATAAAATGAACAAGATATATCCGACAACATCCAACGACTTCGGCAGTGGTGTAGCTATTCCTGTATTGCAAAGATAACACTTGATAATAAAACAAAACTAAATGTGACTTACGTGTGGTGCCAAAATGTTAATAATATTATTTTTTGTAATTATTTTCAATCATTTACTACTTGATAAGTATAACAACAAATTATGAAATATACTGGAAATTGTGTGTTATATATAAACAATGACTAGGCAGTTTATTTTAAAAAATGTAAGTAGATATATTTTTTTATATTTCCAAAATCAACTTGCGATTTGTGAGCATCGCAATCAGTAGGTTGTTGTATATTGTAGTATGGTTCATTTACTGAACAAAAATTTTTTTTTCTAATTATCATTGTTTATTGATTTTTTTTAATGTATTTTTTATTATGATCCTAGTTCGTCTAAATTAATTATTATTATATAGACATTATTGTTAAGTGACGTCACAACTCAAAATGTCACGCGACTGAATGTTATCGCGGGCAATCCAAATATATGAATAAAAATATGTTCCCTTCTTTATTTAACAACACTTATTTGGGAAAACCAAACCTGATAGTGATTTAATATGATCATATGAACAATTGAAAATGCTTTTCTCAAAACAGTTAAGTGATCAATTTACGCTACTGCGCCACAGCACCTTAGTTTTCCAACAAGAGCACTCAGCAAAGTAAACTAATAGTACCCGTGTCACTTCCCAATAACAATAGCCGATTCAAGGGTAAAGTGGCGAGGCAGGTCAACACTCCCCTGAACGTATCCGACCGTAGTCTAGTACTGGAGAATGACGCGTCCGTGCCTAGTGAAGTGTGTACACCTATCCGATTGTTAGTGGTGCCGGAGATCAGCTCGTTATAGTACACGGAGAGACAGTGGACAGGTTCTGTGTTACCTCTGTTGAATAATAACAGGATTTACTCTCGTATTAACTTTATATAGTATATCATCACTGTAGGGGTTCAGGCCTTCCTTATAGATGATTCAGGAGGACTCTCCACGCTGGCACAGTGCGGATTATATTTTTTTAGTAAGTAGTAGTTTTTTAGTAATAATTTCTCGAGATAATAATATTTTGGTCACCCATCTCGTAACCAACCCCTGCGAAAACTCGTTAACAATAACGATCGCGGGCCGCGTCGCTTATCCACTACGCGACTGATTAACGAGGGCAAAGTAACTTTAAAACAGCTAGTGCTATACTAAAATTTATGTACTTTTTTTATTAATTTAATAATTTAAGCCTAATACGGTACGTACTTGAGATGTGCAATAAGTTCACCGTCGTCGGGCCTCCAAAGCGCCGTGGCTTGGTCGAGACCAGAACTCAACAGTCTGTGTTCATCCACCACCGCCAACCTTAGTACCTGCCAGAACAATTTTTAATAGACACATAAAAGAAGACGCTATTTGATTATCTTTTTCTTTTGTACAGTACGTTAATATATTTATATTATTGTAAATTCAACTTTTTATATTAACAGCGCGACCACAAGTAATTAGGCTAAAACTGAAAATCGGGTCTTTGCTCCTTGAGTAAATACTCACTGAGTTTTCGGCCATTTGCATCGCTGCGATACACGTACTGTTTTATTGTCTTGTTTTAGTTACATCTTGTTCTCTACCATTTATTATATTTCTATTTCAATTATTTATGGGAATCAGTTCAGTAAAATTTTGTGTGTGTATAATGCAAATAAAGAATTTATCTATCTATCAATATATCTCTTGCATTTTGTGCTATACATTCTTTTTTCAAATGACATCACTCGGGTGTTGTTTAGACAAGGTTCCAGCGCATTAGCAACTTGCGGGACTTATGTGGATCTATTCACCGTGGACGTATACTTACCTCTCCGTCATGCGCCTTCCAGTGTGCGAGCGGGAGGCCTGTACGCAGATCTATGACGGCCACGTGACCGCTGGCGAGCCCGCACGCCGCCCACCCCCCCTCACCGCACACACACATACAACGGACGAACGTGGACGTGCTCATCGGCAACTAAACAAAACGGTTTATATTTAACACTAGCTGTGCCCGTGTGGAAAGTGGCTCAAGTTGCCCCTTATTACATTTCTGCCAGTGAGTCCCGTCAAAATCGGTAAAGCCGCTTCAGTGATTAGCCGGAACAAACAGACAGACAGACAAAAATGTAAAAAAAAAAATATGCTCCATGTATATGCTAGTTTTTAGATAGAACGCGTTCTTCTTAGTTAGAACTGGTTTTTCTAAATACTTTTGTCAAAACTAGAAGTACCTAGTCAAAACTCATATTTTGATAGTTGCAACTTCGAGGTTTAGTTAAAACTAGCACTAGTAAATCAAAATGAACTCAACAGCAAATATTGTTAATATATTTAATTAATAATGTATATATTGTGATATTATGAATGTTCATAACAAGTGAACTATGCACAGATAATCTTTACATATTTATATATTTTTACCAAAAGAACAATTGCCATCTGCCTAACATGCTTGGACTAGTAAAATTTAATAAAACGTAACTTGATGAAACATCTAGAACGAAGAATGACATGAAATTTATTTTTAAAAGCTTATTATCGACTAATTGTGTAATATGTTTTTGAGGTTATGTCGTATATTATTTAAACTGTAGCATTTTGAGTTAGTAGTATTACTGTTGAAATATGTAGAGCACACGTCAGATAATGCCTAATCGTGGTCCTAGAAGTGCATACTTTCACATAACACTTTAAACTTACTCCATATCTGATAGATTATTTTTATTAGCTGTAAGAAATAAAAATTTTTTTTGTGAACCAATGAACCTCCAATAAAATAATAATATCGACGCTGGAAAGCAAACACGTAGTAACCCGCAAAACCAAAATTGATCTTCAAAGTAGAAAAACTTTTATTTTTTTCGATAAATAATTCCTATAAACGTCCATGGTAACAAATAAGATGTTCCTTAGTCAATTTATACAGAAATAAGACATATTTTTTTGGAAAAATCTAAAGATTTTCCATTATAAATATCCATTTTGGTTTTGCAGGTTACTACGTGTTTGCTTTCCACCGTCGATATAATTTTTAAGATTGCCCTAAATAACTATACTTTTCTATCTTACACTATAACGTATACAGCAGTAGTGAAAATACTAATTTCAAAATGGTATATCTAGTGTGCATTGACCAACAAGACCATTACAGCAGTATTATCTTATGCCATCTAACCCGAATGTGTCATTATTAATTAAAATGTACACATAATATTGTTTCCTCCCAATACATCTTGACTTATTACATATTCAAGCACAAAAGTTATAAATTATCCAAACCAGATAGATATTTTCTTGAACCCCTTATAATTGAGACTTCATTTATATTTAAGTCTAATTCTAATAATCCAGAGAATCCGGTATTTCTTTACAGACCTCAATTCTATACTGCCCATGGAACCTAGTATGCTCCCCATAATACAGAAGATAAAACAAAATCGCACAAAACACAAAATTGCCGCCAAAGCTACAAAACGGTCTGCGTAAAACACGTCTACACATACTTGTCAAAAAATAGGAAGGTCGCAATCGATTGATTACTGTTAAACAATAATTAGTCTTTTTTTTTCATTATAAATAAACTGTTTTCCTAATTATATTAGTAATCTATATAAGTTTTATAATTTTCATGGATTTATACGGTTAATAAATAATATGAGATTTGTATCAAATTTCGATTAGTCAGAAATAAAATCGATTTTATTCTTTGAAAAGAGATGGACTTCTCTATGAATGACATTATTATTAATTACAGATGCGTTCAAAAATAACATAATTTAAACTGCGTTCCAAAAAGTAAAGATATAATTTAGAGAGGATTATCTTTCTTTTCCTAGATTTTAAAAATAAATTGTTGGTATATAATAATTACATTCAACTTATACTACATTTTGGTGATAGTTCCATCTTGGTAACAAGAACTTTTTCGTAGTCCATTTTGGCCATTGGTCTTTAAGAACTATTCGAAATTTTCCGAATTTTTCGTTCGAAAACAAATTGAATAGGCCCTTATATGTCATATTAATTCGTATGAGTTACAGATTTATAATTAGTTAATTACCAACAACAAACACAGTAGGGTTGCTTATTTATCTCTCATCGTTTCATACAGGATTGCCACAATGAATAGTGTAGACAATAATACAGTATAATTTTCTATTATAAATATTAAACAACATCACATACATTGCTGAGATTCCAAGTAGAGCTAAAGACAACACCCAGACCCGAGACAATATAGAAAAATCCTTTTTACATATTGACTAGACCGGATCTCGAACCCGGGACCTCAGAGATGGTGAAACCTTGTAACTGGCGTAGCAACCGCTCTGCTACGAAGGTCGTAGTCGTCATATTATGTTGATGTTACCTTTAGATCGTGCGTGTGATTGCATGCGCGCGCGTCTATGAACTTGAGCGTGGCGTCAGTTGTGGCCGCCAGTACAGCGGTCGACGCGCCACCCAACGTGCGCACTATACTCACTGGCACTTTTATATTGTCCAACTGGTGACAAAAACATTACAAGATATAGAACAAGTAAAACAAATAATATCTATCTATAGTATAGATAGATAAAGAGAATATTATATTATAAAGAGGAAATATTTTATTGTTTGTTTGTTTGAAAACAATAGGCACCAAAACTGCTGAACCGATTTAAAAAAATCTTTCACCTACTGGTAGGTACACCATATGCGGTGAACATAAGCTATATTTTATAGTGAAAAACACCAAATAGAGGTATAAAATGGGAGTGGAAGTTTGTATAGGGAATTAAAACGTTGCAATAGTAAACCATTGTTTTTATCATTTCAATAAAGATATTATCAATTATTAAATTATTTAGGCTGTTGAAACAGGAGTAAATATTCTAACTAATATTTATCCCATTAAAAACAGTACTGTTTCCAATTTTTCATAGGTGTTCCTTTTAGGACGCAGGTGCCATCTACATAAAAGGATTATTTTTTAAGTATTTCTGAAATTTGAAGAGAGGTAGCTCGGTAGCGTAGTAGATAAGCGCCGCGGCCCGCGATCGTAGTCGTTAAGCAACTTACGCAAGGGTCGGTCACGGGATGGGTGACCAAAAATTACAAACGACGTAAAAGGGTTGGTGATGATGATGATGTATCAAAGCGCCAATGAATCGTGCTAACATTGTTGCAACTATCTATTTCATACAGATATACATTGTGGCGGCAAGAAAGGGATAGTCACTGGAGAAGAAGAGACGGTTAGCTGTTCTAGAACTTTTTATTAATGCCTCAAATACACCGGTAGAGCCGAGGAAACACCTAGAATGTTCTAGGTCTTAACTTCATATTCGCAATGCAAACTTCAAATTAATTAGAATTTTGAGACAAAAACAATTCGATAGCGACAGAATAGGCCACTATTTTTTAAATGTATTTAAAAACTAAAGTTGTATAATGTGAACGAACTCTAACAACCAGTATTCTATATACGTAATAGAATCGATAATGAGTTATGACGTGTGTGACGTGATGACGAGAATAAAATATCTTAATGCAATAATACTAAGAATCAAATTAGCTCACCTGCGACACAACACTCTCCATAAACGGATCCCATATGTGTACCACTGAATCGGTAGAGACCGCTAGCCGCAACGAATCGAGGAATGTGAGTGACAACACGCCCTTCTTATGACCTGTATATGTCCAATTACATAGAGTTGATGCATTACCATCGCCCTGAAACAATCAAACTATATAGAGTGAAGGCCCTTAATCTACATATTTGCAATTAATTACCCAGATATTTATCAACGAGTATTAATTCAATACAATTACGGTAGAAATATGCTATCTGTAGTGTATTACTCCGGTCAATCTAAACGTTAGACCTTAGGGATTGTAATGAAATTGTGAAAAGGCCCCGTAGATGCCGTGTGTTCAAAAAATGTATACAATATTAACATTAATTAATAAACATTTATTCTTGATATTTTAAATTTTTCAGGGAAACTGTTATTCTTTTAATTCAAAAAATAGGGGTGTGTGTATATTTAATCTAAAAATAAATTAAATTTTCAAAATTTCCCCTGTACACGCTAACAACTGTCATAGCGTCACTAGGGGCCGTCCATAAATTATTCACACAAAAGGATTTTTAACCCCCCCCCACCCCTCTTGTCACCTATTTATCTATACAAATTCTACTAAATAATTATACTAAATATATATATGTTTTAATGTCACGGTTCGTCGAACCCCCCACCCCCTCATAAAGTGTGACGTAATTTATGGATGACCCCCTATGACGTCATGCCCTTCTAAAACTTATCGTTCTATATATGCTTAGGGTGTAATTCTCGAAGTTCTGATATGAGTATTGGGACATGACTGTCACGTGACAACGAGTATAAAATATTTGTTTTATCATTATTGATTTACGCAATTTTATAAATATAATATAATAAGCATGAAAGTGTGAGACTATCGTTAATAGTATATTAAACACTACCAGAAAAATAAATACGTATTTATTTTTGTTTACTGTCTACACTCGTATTGTCCTTATACTTCATAACATTAGTAGCGTCACCGTAGAAGCCCCAGTCATCATAGAAATGTATGAAAACGAGATGCGAGATGTGGTCCTTAGGTGAGTACATTAACAAAATTATAAGAGCCTAACGTGTTTTTTTTTTATTTAAAATATTTATATAGATATAAAAATATAGTAAAAAAAAATAATGCGGCATGAACTCTTTATATAATAAGATAAGTAAAATACATCCAATATACAAACTTACGAAAACACAGATAAAGAAAAAGATTGGAAACTGGCTACAGAAACTTAATTATAACGAAACAGAGACACATATATAAACTAATAACTATTATTATATAAAAACACACATCACCAAAACACATTCACAATGAAACTTTCTTACTATCACACTTGTTCACTTACATAAATATTCAACATACATGTCGCATCATCATTACGAAGATCGTTTGATTTAGTTTCTTTTATTTTAATTGATAGTTACTCGATTACTTAATTACTCGATTGTAAAGAGAGCGTGATCATCGATACCCTTAATTTTATTAGAATGGTGACACTGACTTTGACAGTTCGTTAATAAAAAGCAAGTTGCCGCCATTTTGGCAGACATTCTGTTTCCGATCGCCGAGGAGTAAAGACATCTGTCGACATCACGCTCATCTCGTTATATTTTCGTATGTAAAGTGATAAAATGGATCAAATCCACGTTGGTATATACGCCTGTTATTTTAAAGATAGTCCTCCGATATGGACGATCTATTTGGGCTTCGTAATAGCCCCTTCGGACTACCCGCCGTTATACATAATCAAATACAAATTTACTACTTGATTGTTTCACTTTTTAACTTTTTCTTTTTTTTCCAATATTTTCCATGTAGTAAAATTAGCACAATAATTACTTAGTAATTTAATGCGAAAATAGTCATAATTCCCGTGGGGTGGGTCCTGGTGATCTGTATTTCAGGCTATCGCCCCTTACAGACACCAGTTCCTCACAAAGTCGACAGGCAATCTTCTTTTTGTAATTGTGTTTGTTCAATAAACATGTTCCTGTATTTGTGAGGAAAATAAATTCAATTTTTATTTTTATTTAATTCGTTAAACATACCTGATTCCGTAGGGACCACAAGCGTACGGTCTTGTCCTTCGAGCCGCTCATGAAGCTATGCTCGTTGTCCAGACAGTGTATGGACTTTACCGCCTGCGTGTGACCGATGAACGTCTGCAGCTTGATCTGTTTCAAATTGAAACGGTTCTCTTTATCTGGACGGCCAATCTCGTGTTCCCAGTATATAAGCCAGTCGCCGCGAAGATGTCTGTACAATAAACAAATATATATAGGGTTATCTTTACAGTTTGGCAAAGCACAAATTATTCCTATGGTTTAATATATAGTATCGTTAATATGACATACAGCCGGTTGCACAAACGTTCATCAAAATCATTAATTTAATGCGACATAAGCCATGCAAATTTGACATTCATTAGAACTTAAAGGCGTCATTAAATCGTAATGAACGTTTGTGCAACTGACCGATATCGTAGAATAAATTAAAAAAAAAACACGAATTAATTCGAAAATCAGAATAATTGTCGGTCATAAATTCTTATGGTTATTTATTAAACTAAGGGTGGTTGCACAAACTTACAATAATTGTGCAAAATGTGTTGGACCATTTGGCAATGGTTGTATGACGTCATAACTATAACAGCCCAAGATACGTTGGTTTATATTATTGGTTTTACTATATCAATAAAGTGGATGGTGATGGTGGTGTAGTGTATTATACAGTCAACGTTAAATCAGCGTGATAGGTATTGTTAAACTTAAACTGCTATTATGGTGCAATCCAGCCTTAAAGTATTTTATTTGTATATCACGTGACGTGAAACACGACCGCCATGGTGTAACTTCACATTATCAAAAATATTCCTAATATCTCATTTTCTTGCAGAAGATCTCTAGAGGTCTTGTCTTGTATATTTATATATTATAATTTTGTAGTACATTGTTAGATTACACTATTTGTATAATTGATGTGTTTATATCCATTTTGTTTACATACCAATGACGTCATGAACGTATGACGTCATGAACTTGCAAGACAGCGTTTTCGCGGGTAGAAAAAGTTCTATTTTTAAGGAAATATTATACAAACATTATCTAAAATATAAAAATCATAAAACTGCTCATCCATCATAGCTATTGTGGCTTACCTATTACTTTTGGGTCCGTTATCTATCTGGCAAGCGACCACGTCCAATCCTTTAGCCGTTGCCACTGGTTCAGCTGCCACATCGATTCTGTTACCGACCAAGGTCACGTTCGAACCAAAACTGTTTGAGCCGGACATGTGGTCGGAGAGATCGGCCTTCGTCGGCGTTATATCGATCGTCTTTCGGCTAATCGGCTCGTCACTAAACGAGGTCTGAACGCGTTTCTCCGATCTGATTATTAGGGGAGAGCTACGAAGAGAAAACGTTATAATTGGCAATTGAATTCACAATACTATATATATTCTATAAAAATCAGACGAAATAAGATTGGGAACCCCTGATTAGGACAGTTATATACAGCAGTTAAAAATCAAACACCACATTAACATTATGTATTATAACCTAACTTCGAGTAGATAGGTGGCGTAGTGTATAATTGCTGCGGCCTGCGATGTTTGTTGTTAAGCAACTTTCCTAAGGATCGGTCACGGGATAGGTGACCAAAAAATACTATCTCTAGCTACTCCGTGTCTCGGAAGGACCGTTAAGCCGTTAATCCCGGCTGCATTTGCAGTCGCTGATACCCTCCAATCCGCATTGGGCCAGCGTAGAGGGTCATAGCCCATCCTCCTTAACCATCCATAACGAGAGCCTGAGCTCCTGTAGTGGAGACGTAAAAGGGCTGATGATGATTATAAACTTATTTAAATCAAAATTAAAAATATAACCAACCTTATGCAGTGAGTCTGTTCATATTTGCGACAAAGTGAACGTATCGTATCACCGTTCTTGAGACACTGCTCCATAGCATCCGCGCCCACGAAATCGGCGAACGTTGTGTACGCTTTGTAAGCGAGCTCTTCATCGAACACCATTAATAACTCTTCCTGGGCCTGTTGAAACAAAATGTTCCCTAGATGTATGATGTAAATTGAAACTGTATTTTTAACAGATTTCAAATATTTTTTTTTGCATTCTACTCGTATTATATTTTTAGGGTATGTTACTTTATAACACTAGTATCTATCCTTATCTTCAAGATTTTCAGACGTCACGTTTTTATTTGATATAAACATTTTACCATTATTTTAAATTTACATGTCTTTGAAAATGACATTTTTTTATTTAAGGCTATATGTTGAGACATGCTGCATGCACTGCAAAAATTAATGCGATAGTATGTTCAGGCATACATATGATTATTTGCTCATACTGTTATGGGGCAAAAGCCCTCTCCCAATGCTTTGCTAACGTCTTTGTACTGTGTTAGAACTATTACAAACGTAGGCAATTCACCTAACTTGTTACTATTTAAAAAAACAATTACTACCAATTACATATATTCGTTTTTTTTTTTTCGATAAGACTATTTTTTTTTCTATAATAGGAATTTAATTGCGCCTCTTTTTCACGATATGAATTTAGGTTTTGACAGCAACAAAAGATCTATAATATAGGATATGGGTAATTTGATAAACAAGTAAGCAAATAATGATGTCTAATTTTGACCTAAAAATTTACTAACGCGTCTAGTGATGTGATATATCTCAAAATGTAGCTTATTTTTTACTTTTTTCATATCATGAAATTAAATATTTAAAAAAAGTCAGGTTAAAAATTGCAAGGTTTATAATTATTTTTTACTACGATAACTAGCCCAATATGATTCAAACCCTAAAATTATGGTTTGCTCCTCGGGTTTGCTGTATAGTTTGCTACACTACCTCAATGCGATCAGACCCAACGACGGTTTACTACGTTTCGTTTCATGTAATACAATAATATAGTAAATGACTGCACATTAACAATTACATTTAGATTTATTTCCATATTTACGAGTCGAACTTTAGAAAGACCATCTGACAGATCAATCAATGTATGAAAAGTGGACAAGATTCCTTATAAAATTTTAAAGAGACAGACACCAAAAATAGATATTATTGGGACAAGATTGTGATAATTTCGATGACATTGATTCATAGAAAATATATACATAGTTGAGACAATGTGATAACGGGGCAAGATCATGAATTGTTCAGGACGCCAATAATACCAACAAACTATTTAGCACGTCGATTAGTAAGTTGTTAGTTAAAAAGTTAATTACCGTTATTTAACCGACCATTGGTTATCTAACTATAAAATGCGTTTAATAGTCGGTGACTTTTCTACTGCAAACTATACAAATGGTGCTGCGTTTGTGGTTATTTACATTTAACGTAATAGAGTTGTAGACTAGTTTTGTATATTTTTATTTTATAGATATACATGAAATATATCTAAAAAATATATTTTAAAAAGTATCTGTTATTCATATAATAAGTTAAAATCTAAAAATTAATTTTAATTTCAAAATTTCCCATGAAAACGCCTCTTCTGTTGTGACGTCACAATATGTATAAGGTTGAATTCTCCAAGTTCTGTTATGAGTAAGAGGGGCATGACGTCACCCGCTGTTTGCGGTCACGTGACAACGCGTGTAAAATATTTGTTTTGTCATAAGAAAAAGCAATATTATAAATATAATGAGCATACAGTGTGATTATCGGTAATAGTATATTAAATACTACCAGAAAAACAACGCATTTATTTTCGTTTATTGTCTATTGTAATGTAAAATAATTTATTACTTACTAAAATATTTAAACTATTAAAACAGAATATAAAAACTTGCCTACGCATTTGCCTTACCTTCACGTATTTATTAAAATAACTACTTATTTATTTATAATTATTAGACTATTATTTATTTACAAAATATATAAATTTACCAATAGACTTCACGATGAAATAAAATTCTACACTATTTACTTAAATATTCAAACGAGACGTCAATCTGCTACGACAACACTCAATTCAAATGTATGTTTCGGTTATTCCCCCACACCCCTAGCCATCGAACAACAATCTCAATTAAATCATGATATGCAATTCCAACCGCTAGCGGCGACAAGCGGTAATATACCCATAACAAGGATAACATGTAATATGATAAATGCATTTTTATGTTATAAAGCGTTTGGGTGAAATCGTTAAAACCACCTCCGCATACATACCATACAAATAAGAATATTACTTAAGATGTGACAATGAAAATGCATCATGAACCAGTATGGATGCAAATCGCATACGTAATGGTTCGATAAGAAAATTGACCAGAATGATAGTATCGGTTTAGATATTAACGAGAACATATTTCGTTGGTTATGACATTAAGAATAAATGCCGCTTGGTAACGAAGTTGATATACGACACGAATTTGGAAGAATAATGAAACCAGGTAGGCCAAATCACATATAACGATGATGATGCGATAGCGTAAATTATGAAAACTGACATCGTATGAGGCGAATAATGAATGTCGAGGAAGCAAGAGAAGTATGTAAAAGCCATGCCTTGTAGTGCTCGGTTGTGACAATGACGCAATATGTTTTAACAGCATCAGACCACGATCTCATAGAGCTCTATGTAATGATCGAAGATTTTTCGTGCTTGTTTGATGTAAATTCCATCGCGGAACAAAACTACTTCTACTACAACTACTCACTTACGAATTGCCGTTATCTGCCCGTAATTTGTAATGGCTAGTTTATACTTTGTCAAGTAACAAATGCATCGAAACTGTTAAGTGTAAGTCACATAGAAATTTGTTATGTTTCTTGTAAGGTCAAATTATATGCTCATGTCAGAGTAAAATGGACTTTAGGGTGGACTTAGACTTGGAAGAGAAGATATACTTTATAATTAACTTCATAAATGCACTTCTCACTCACACTTAATGTGCGGTAAACGTTGCATTGCCCCATCGATACTTCTAAATTACAATATTTCTCATTACCAAAACGTTTTTAAAGTAAAATAACTAACTAGCAAATGATCTTTGTAGGAAAACGTCAGACAAATAAAATACTAATTAATATAAACTACTCGTAAGTATGAAATTGAAATTGTGATAAAAATAAAATATTTATCGGCATTAATTGAAATCATGTATCATTTCACATTCGCAATTCGCAGAGAAGCACAGAGTCAATTTTTAACAAAATCCAAAAGAAAAGTGTTCTAATATTGAATGGTGATCAACGACTGTACTTGAATTCTTTTGACTATTCATGATTTACATGTTCTGATATCAACGTGTTTTGCGTTAAAGACATTGCGCTAGTTTAGACAAATCGTTTCATTTGTCACTTCCCACTTGCACTTTGCACTCGCACTTGCAACTTGCCGACCGTCTAAACTAGCCATAACTTACCGTGAGGGCGGTGGAGTCTGCGGACCGATCGTGTGTAGCGGGCGGACTGCAAGCGAGGTCCGGCAAGTCCGCGCGGAGCACGCGCCCCTCACGAACGCGCCATTCGCATGTAGAACCATCACGGCACAACTCCACTATACCGTCCGCCGGGTCTAAACACTCCTCCGAACTCTGACAAATTAATATTTCTATACTAATATTGTTTGTTTACTTCGAAAAGGCTCCGAAATAACAGGACCGATTTTAAAAATTCTTTCACCTATGGGAAGCTACATCGTATGCGGTTAACATAGACTGTACTTTATCCCGAAAACGAGCAAATAAAAGGAGTGGAAATTTGTATTAGAAATTAAATCGTTACCATAGTAACTATTGTTTACTATTCAATTTGTCATTGTAATTATATCCGTGTCATGATATGAATCGATATCCAAAGAAACAGGGTCCACGCGGGCGAAGCCGCTGGCGGATAGCTAGTATATATATATATATAAAAGGCAAAACTTACTGACTTATATATCAAAGCCAGTGGTAACTACTGTACCTAGAAACTTGAAATTCGGCACAAGGGTTCCACTAAGAAAGGATTTTAAGAAAATATACCCCCCAAGATGGTGAGATAGGGTGTGAACTTTATATGGACCACGCCGGCGAAGCCGATAGCGGAAAGCTAGTTCAGAATAAAGCCCATTTATTAAAACCAAACTAATGATAATAATTTTAACAGGATCTTGGTCTAAGTACGGCTCTCCACACAATGCCGATACCATCACAATATTTACTCTTGAGCCACAAAAGTCATCCCATACCTCGATGCGACAGGCTCTAAGAGGTGCCACAAGACATACGCGATAATTTCTTTGCATATTTTTAATTTTTTTTTATCATCATTATTTTGAACCCATATATTGCTAGGCTTAAGTCAACTCTTGACTTGGTATTTTTAATAATTTAATTATGTATTTTAATAATTAATTATAAAATACTTCAAAATTCTTCAAGTACATAGTACAGCGGCAAATCGAGTAGGTAGTTGAGATTCTATCGATGCGATTATTAGGTGATTATTATCAGAATTGACCTGCACGTCGACGCCACTAACAAAGCGACCAACAAGGCTGTAATTGCTATTGCACCGAACACTACCGCAACTAAAACAATTTTACCCGTAATGTCCTCGAAAGATGCACTGAATCTGTTTCATCTTCAAAGTCTCGAAAACGTCATGGGAAGACAAAGTCGTCTAGGTAGATATGAAGCCTCGAACATTGATTGGAATGGAACTGACTATACAGTCAGGAAATTTCAGCTATAATACCGGCTGCCCCGAGAACTGAACAAAGCGAGTACCAGAAGAGAGCAGAACGAAACAAAAGAGTACGGATAACTTCTTAATTTGCCGAGGAGATAGCACGACGCATTGTGCCCGAAAATCCTGAGTTGCCGATCATAGTTTTTGTTGGGTAGAAAGAACTGTTAGTGACCTGAGCTTATATACGATAGATGTTGGGCTTATATACGATAAATGGGAAGTACTTTGACATAATAATTATTGTTTCTTACATCAGTAGGCTTCTCTTGGGCACAATCTCAATGACAATTTCAATCCAATTCCAATGACGGCTTCATCTATTGAAACAGACTCGAAACTTACTCAATGTCAATTAGTTCATTCACGAACCACGCAATATTGAGCCAACTGTTGCTAGTGTACTAAATTAAGAATACGAAACGTCACAATTGCAATGTCAATCGTTCGCGAATGAGGACAAGAGTATTTTTGTATTTTTTTTTTATCTCACTGGTGTCAGTTATGTTGTGATATGCATTTGATTGTCATGTGTCGATATATTTTGATAAAAATAGATAAAATTTAAATTCGAACGGTACATTTTTTTTTTTTCATTTTTTTCTACCATACAACTTTCTCAAAAATTACGAGGGACATGAGGGGGAAGTGGTCCTCGATATTCTACAGTGCCTTGGTAATGTGCAGAGTTTATACGTGGAAGAACAACGGTTGAACGTTACCTTGATGACATCATCAGTCAGGAAATGATGAAAAAAGTTAAATTGTTTTAATAAATTGTTTTGGAAGATCGTCGTGCAACAGGTTTTATTGCTGCAGCATTAAACAGTACAAATAATCAAGACAACGCACCGCAAGTCTTCAGTAACCATGACAACAATCAAAGACGCTAGCTTTTAGATACATCTATCATATTCACCGGACTAAGCCCTCAGTGATTTCTTTAGTACCCAAGATGATTTTTTATAATGGAATTTTAGCTCTAGAAAAAATATATGTCAAATTTATTAACCTAGAGGATGTTCATGTAGAAAAATACAATTATATTAAATGTAAAAATATCCATTAATGTAAGATATTCTCATTATTTTTTGCACACTTTACTGTCCGTCAATTGTCAAACGAACCATACGGTACCTGGATCAACAAGTGAATACGCCGGTCTGGGCCATACTCTTATAAAGATATTCATCATGCGCGTCCAAAATCTACTGCATTAAAAGCATGTAAATCGAAGCAAGATAGACGACAAAACTGTCCACGATATATAGAATATTGATTTTGAGCTTTGAAAAACACGCTCTTCACAAGGAATAATTTTTTAGAGAGAATCTTTAAAAAAAAAATGAAGCACTCTTGTGTACACGCGCGCCATTGCAAACAACAGATTTATGATCGAACGGGCTAACGTATGGCGAGCGGACGGCCAGTTACATCGTACCTCGAATAATTAACGAACTATCCCCGGATTTAATACAACGTATACGTCCTAACAACTAAAAGAAATTACTAAAAGTTTATTACTTAGATGTGCTTGGTGTCTAAATACTGCACCAACTACGTGTTGTATCTATCATTACTTTAATGTAAATATTCCCTTTGTTGATAATATGCTAACCAAGTTCTTGCCGATTTGTTTAAGTGCATGTTACGAGGGTCAAACTGAAAGTTCTTAGAACTGGCCACTTATAAACAATATAATAAAAAAATAATTCTAAAATTTGAAAATATAACTCTTTGCCAATATTACTGAGTATATATTTCATTCATTTGTCATTTGTTTTACGATTTGGCGGCAAATTGAAAATTGTCTGTGTCACGTCATCATGAATTTACACGAGAAAATTTTCGTGCAATGATTTTTTATGACTTTCGATGTCATTTAAGTCAACAAGAAAGTTATGATAGACTACGATTGGCCTTTCACGATGAAGCCCCATCTCGTGCGACTGTTTACAACTGGTTTAATGAGTTTAAACGTGGTCGCACTAATCTCACTGATGATTTACGTGAGGGACGGCCTTCTACGGCGACGACTGAAGATAACATCTGTGTTGTGCGGCGTATGATAGAGACTGACAAAAGAGTGACCTATCAACAGATTCGGACAAGCTTAGGCATCGGTATGAGTCAAGTGCACAAAATCCTCCACGAACATTTAGCGGTCAGGAAGCTTTGCGCCCGGTGGATACCTCATAATTTGACTGAGGCTCAAAAACTCCATCGTGTGGATTGGTGTCGTAAAATGATTGAAAGATTTAACGGAGGTGACTCAAATGCTGTGTTCGACATACTAACAGGTGACGAAAGCTGGATTTACTGTTATGATCCTAAAACCAAAAGACAATCTGCTCAGTGGGTGTTTCCTTTCGAGGAGTTGCCAACTAAAGTGAAGAGAGATCGAAGTGCAGGAAAAAAAATGGTGGCCTCGTTCTTTGGAAGGATAGGTCATTTTGCAACAATTGTGTTAGAGGATCAAAAAACAGTTTCTGCAGAATGGTACACTACCAATTGTTTGCCACTTGTCTTGGAAAAAGTTCGAGAGAAACGACCTCGCAGTAGGATCCTCCTTCACCACGACAACGCCTCGTCGCACACCGCCAAGCGAACGATCGACTATTTGGCGACATCAAACGTTGAATTACTGGGTCACCCGCCGTATAGCCCCGACCTCGCGCCTTGTTATTTTTATTTATTTCCAAAAATTAAAGAAAAACTTAAAGGAAAGCGGTTTATGAATGCTGAAGAAGCGGTGGATGCGTATCGCGATGCCATTGAAGAGACCCCTAAGGACGAGTGGGCAAAGTGCTTTTCCCAGTGGTTCCATCGCATGCAGCAGTGTATTGACGTGAATGGACAATATTTTGAAAAGATATAATAAAACTAATAACTGGCTAATGTAATCAGTTTTTGATTTTCTAAGAACTTTCAGTTTGACCCTCGTATATATAAATTTATTCCTAGCACATGTGTACAAACCTTCGTGGTTTCTGTTCATGGCTTAGTTTAATTACCATGTTAAATAATTTTCTTAATGTGTAAATAAATAAAAAATAAAAAAAATGTGCAACCCCTCAAACACCATCATCATTGCCCAACCAACTGTGCTACGGAATACATGGCTGAGACGCGCCATCATCAGAGGACATTGCAGAATAATAAGAGTACTGAAAATCTAAGCCCGAGAACAACCCACAAGCAATATCATTGTATTAGAAACTATAAAAAGAAAATTTGTGTAATGCCTTACTTAGTGGCAGACTAACACCATCAAACTCCCCTCTCCCCCACCGCATAAAAATTTAAAAAATGTAAACTACGTACTTTTTTATCTACAGGGTCGCCAACTCCAATTTACGATTGCATCCATTTAGTACCGCCCCCACCCCCTCCGATAATATTCCGTATACATATATCGAATTTTAGTTGGTCGTTATGTATTTATTGACAGTGTTATTGATGTTTTACAAAGAATTCTCTCTATTATCACAGTCGGCAAGCTATTTGGCCTTAAAATCGTAACGGTGAGAATTGCTTTCCATTTATAAAAATATTAGTATGGATAGGTGTAGTTACCTTCTCAGGATTAGTATCCTCTTGTTTTGGCCAATTTTCAGTCTTTCCAGTCGCTTTGTCGAATGCTAAGAAAAATCTGTAAATAATAATAGGGTATTCTACTCTGTTTGAAATAATACATGTAACTGTTTATTTTAACTTTTAAAAGTCATAAAAACAAATATTTCGGCAAAATAAACATTTTTTTTATATACCATGACATGTACACAAAACCCATCAAAACTGATTCATAGAGTAGAAGATTAAAAGATGTCAATAAAGCAAGAACAATGCCATCTAACAATCTAAATAAAAATAAATAAATACTCTAAGGACAGCGCCATCTAGGAATTTGATTTATAATTAATAGGCTTAATGCCTAATGTGACAGTTGTCGCCACAGTGACGTCACACAATGTCTCAAGTCACGTGACACACAAGAAATCATGACTTGTAATTTTATAAGATAATTGTGCGATTTTAAGACACAAAAAATCACAATCTCTAACAGCCAGTTGCACAAACGTCCATTAAATTTTTATTAGTTTAAAGCGACATTACTCATACAAATTTGGCATTTACTAGAGCTTAAAGGTGTCTTTAAACCTTAATGGACGTTTGTGCAATAGACCGTATGTTTATTAAGATGTAAATTTTAGTTTTTGTGCAATTTCGTGACTTGTTTTTCACTATCGAAACTGCCCTATTATCAATTATTCTGCATGTGTTAAATATAATATAATATATGTAACTTTTTTAAATTGCATTTTTCTTTTACAACATATGATTAAATATTGATTAACATTTAATTATTATATAGTATAAAAATCAGTCGTTAAGGGGCCGTCTGTTAATCAGGTGAGGCTCGAAAGGGGGAGGGGGGATGTAGTAATATGTGTATTTAGATTTTTATCAAACACGCTATCTGTTGGTTTGTAGATAATAATAAATAAAAATACACGTGATTTGGGTGGTGGGGGGGGGGGGGGGTTAATCTTAAACCTCACCAAGTATCATCAAGGGGGAGTGGGGGTTAAAATGCTGAAAAAACATCATGTGATTAATGGACGGTCCCTGATTTCCGACAGAAGGTGATAAAAAGTAGCAATATTGATAGAGACCTCTTTTTTTCTTTATCTCTGATGTTAGTAGGTTAAAAATAAGAGAAATAAACCTATTTATTATATATAACCTATTTATTATGATGAACTTGAATTATTAAACATATAATTACAGATAAAAAAAAACTCCTTTATTGTCTATTACCTCTGCAAAGCATGTACGCAAAGGTGCATGCGTGTCATCTCGGGTCCAATGCGAAGAGCTAGAACATGTAGCGCTTCAAGCAGCTTACGAGCAAGAGCTGATCTCGCTACAGCGCCACTGGGATATGAACAACGACTAGTAGACGCTAGGCGCAGCGCTGGTTGCAAGATTGACTTTAGGAATGTGTCCTAATGCAAATAAAGAAAACAAAAGGAATGGTTAACAGATGCAACTAATTCATATCCCTCAATACATTAGAGTCTAATCTATCTAGTCTATCCTATATTGGGAGGTCATATCAGGATTGCCACCCGTCCTGAATTTTCCGGGACAGTCCCGATTTAAATGATGTTGACGCTCAACAATCGCTACTTTTTGATTTTAAATGAATATAAAATACGTAATCTTATGTTCTTTAGGTGAAATAAACATATCGTCTAAATATTTAGGTGATATCTGATCAAAAGCGTATTTGTTTTGTTATAACAGGAAAACTAATTATTCGATTTCGATAAAATTTAAATGGGGGCTACCTTGGTCCATTAAGCTATCTAATAAATAATATTAAAATTTTGGTCAACAATTGGACACACCGGATATATCGGTGAACATACATAAAAAACATAAATCGTCATATAACATATAACTTTTTGGATTATGAAGTCGGTAAACAAAAAGAGTGCGAACCTTTCTTAAAGCGTCCAGTAAAACTCTTCCGTACTTCCGTAAGCACTATATACCTGCAGGCATTACTCACACTTGGCAACTTTTATTCTCACTTGGTAGACGTTATTCGCATTGGTCACGCAGTTTACACTGGGCATGCGGTGTATCCGGTAAATAAAGGATATCCAGCTGATATGCCCCCGAACTAGGAACATTAATACGCTAATAATGATAAACATACAAATACTCACTAATAATTGTTCCATGACCTTCACATCGGACATGTAAGGCAGAAGATATTTGACTAGTTGAAGACAGGCGACTACACCTCCTTCCAATGGGGCTGACAGCCGGCGACGGCATGAAGCTATCAGTTCCCCCATATGAGGAAGATACTGGAATATTATCAGCTGCTCCCCGTACATAGCTGAAGGCAACGATTTTAATGTGGTTAGATCTAAATATATAAAAAATTTCGGTGGAAGATTCTACTAAATGTTTTATTATTAATTTAAATTATTTTCTTGCTATTACGGTTGAACAAACAGACATGAACGGTCAAATAACTTTAGTAGTCTTTAAGTATTGAATTCTAAATAGAAAACCATTGATAATTATGATTGTTTACATAACTTACCTACAATAGAAGTGAGGCACTTTATGACTTTTCTGGCATTCCTGTCGCCAACAACGCGACATTCTACAATAGATATCTCATCAAACTCATCCTTTTCTTCCCCTTCCCACAAAGTAAGGTTATCCTTTCCAATGTAGCACAAAGTCAGCATTTTGAGCAAATTTCTAGCTATATATCTACATGTAAGTACTGGTCCCAATCGGTGAGCCAACCAAATCAAACTTTCGGAACTCATATCAGAAATTTTGCACGGAGTATAGTCCTTGCATGGGTCGCTGATAACATCAGTGCAGCTACGAGAAGTCTGAGCATGATACCCTTCTAAATTCCTATCCAGTTCAAGACTTTTAATTTGCCTCGAATAGGGTACACCCTCCACTTCATCCGACCTAGATTCATCGTTGGCAAAGTGCAAATAGCTTGTGAACATTGTTTTCGTTGGAATGTCTATAGTAGGTGACATTGGTTTGTTGGAATTTTCTGGAGTCGCTTCAGGTGGATTATTAACTATCAAAGTCAAATCTTGGGTATTAGAATGGGGCGTGAAATATTTCGAGGTAGCCGGTGAAAATACTTCTGTCGATGACGAGGGAGAATGTAGGACTGTTTCGTTTGGAGGATTAGAGTGACAAGAGTCGATAGATTCTGATGGTGATTTGCTTCTAATATTTCGACTAGGTAACCTATCTCTATCGCTTTCGAAATGGAACAAATCACTGTCGCTTATCCTTGTGTCGCCGCTATCCTTTTCCTTCAAAGTCTCGGGCACATCGACCAGACACTTTTCTACATTGGGCGTCGCGATGTGCTCTGAACCGTATGATGTATCTGGAGAGAATATATCAGTAGTGGTCGACAGAGCACTTTTAACATTATCGTCAGAGTATCTAGGTTTCTTGTTGGCTGCTGATTTACTGTTACATAGATGTCCAGGAGACCCAACCGCTGATGAATTATCATCTCTATAACCACCTACTGCTTCTACGAGATGTTGAGTGAAATTGTCTAGGAAACATTGCAGGCCCAGCCTTACCATCAATTGCAGAAGAAAAATGTTATGGTATAATTTTACGAACTTTTGCTTGTTCGACAAAACTGTAGCTTCTATGGATACGTCGACATCTGTTAATTTGTGACGCGTTTGTTTTTCGCCTGTTACATCTTCGTCTTCGTAAAGGTACAATATGTGTTTTAGAAGTTTCTTTTTCGTTGCGGCTTGTCCCAGAGCTTTGCTTACAGTATCGAACAAGTACCATGCAGCTAACACTGATGTTTCTCGATTACGTAACAGATCTACGTAATGCATGACAAATATGTCGAGGACATCAAACTGGTTGTAACATGTGAGCTGACTCAAAAGAACGTCTAAATGCGTCACACAAGATTGGATTTTCCCTTCAGCTATTTGTTGATTAAACTGCAATTTTGTCTTATCAATACTCTGATATTTCTCACATTGAGTCCCATCACATTCGTACATAAACAATATATTTAATTCGTTGCTTGTCAGTTCGTATTCATGAAGAGTGGAAAGAAGTTTGTATAAGATATTGAAGGTCTGCGGGAATGGTATGAGGTGCTGCATTAGCAATGGCTGTAGCAACTGAGACGCAGTCGGCGGAGGCAAACCTTTATCGGTAACTATTATCTTTTTAAATGACTCGTCTTTGGGAGACAATTGATTTTTAAAGCTTAAACTTGGAGGTTGAACGTTTAACAATAAAGATGTTATGTAACTAACACATTTGGGTAATACATTAAAATTATATTTTAAGACAGTCCTACAGCTATTGTACCGATCCATGAAGCTATCGTTGTTACTCCTCAATGGTCTCATATATTGATGTAAGAAAATTTCAACAATAAGGCACCCGATAACTAACATATCCTGACGACGACTCTCCGTTACGAACTGTTTATAAACGCTAGCATCCGTTGTATATCTCGAATTAAAAGATCTGGCCTTCCTTTCTTTCGTTGCAGACTCTAAATGGGCGTCCTGACTAAACCTTTTAAAATAACTTTGATCGTAGGACGCGAGAAATATGTGATTGGTGAACGCTGTGTCTTCAGAAGAATCTTTTGTGGTACTACTCAGCTTTTTGACTTCCTGTTGGACGGGAAAATAATTTAGTGTTGTCACCGTTTCTTTAGATTTGTCTTCGGCTTTACTAAAGAAACATTTTGTTCTAAAATGGTCTAGTGCCTCCAAAGCTTGTATAGAAGCGACGGGGTTGAATTCCTTCGGTAAATAAATTACACCTTTTCCTAGTTCAGATCGCTGCACACGGTAATGGCGAGTATGTGAGGAGGCTCTGCTCTCAGAATGAGGGCTGTCTTCGTGAGGTTGTCCTTTAGAAAGTGATCGAGCCCTACTACTGCTTTTGTGTCGTGTTCGGACTCTTTGTGGTGGCACGTTTAGCCGAGACACGTGTTGAGGTACACTGGTGGATTCTTCTTCTTCATCAGTCATATCATCAGAACTGTCAGCTTTTATTGATTTTTCTGTAACATAAGATGCTATTATCTATATTTCATAATAAGACATGTCCTATCTATAAATTTTAACAGCCATAGTTTATAATCAACTGAACGATTTGATATTTCTCTTGTTACAAAATATATGTACTATTCGTTACAAGTTAAATGTAAAAACAAAATAAGAAATGACATCACATAACATTGTCTAAAAAAACAATAAAAAAAGAATTTCCCAATGAAAATGACAAAAAACAATTTAGTTCAGCATAAAAACCCACCAAATACGCCATGTTATAATTTCGTTTGTCTACGCAAACGTTTATAAACATGCCAAATTAATAAAGCACGGTCACCGAAAAGAGAGAATTTCGTACGTTGACCTTTGTGTCTACTGATAGATATCACAAAATATCTATGACAAAATTGGGTATATGCATTTGCGCGAGCGCAATAGCAATATGTTTGCACACGAGTGAAAGAGATACGTAGTGTCATTGCACGAAATTCTTTCTGTTCAACAATCGTGCTATAGAGGTTCAATTTACTTTACAATTCTAATTACTAAATGTATCTTACTAGCATCTTTGGGAGCAGACCAATATAGCCTCGGAGGTTGTGGCGGCGGAGCTCGACTTGTTTTCGGTGGATGCGGAGCCGTTAGTAGCTGAACCGTGGCTCCTCTTCTCGGCACCGTATGTCCATCCACCAAGGACAGGCAAACATTCTTAGCTTTAACCGACGCAGACCCTGTTAACTTGTATCCGAACGTTATGTCTATCCAGTGGTGCAGATTTTCGGATACGTGAGCGCTTTCTAGTGCCTCCCTGTGCTTAGTTATGAAATCTTCTGCACATGTAGCCCACGAGGGTATACCTAGATCCTGTGCAACAAATGAATCAAAATCAAAATTCACTTTATTTTATTACATTTTTTATACATGTCATGGGTACCATTTGGGTGACGCGCACTGTTCGTTTGAAGTCGGTTTAATATCTGCGCCGTGTTCGTTTTAGTGCCGGGTAATGTATCTTTCGAGCATCCCGATTTCTTACGACTAGTTGAAAATGGGATCGGACAACTTTAAAAATCTGTGTTAAATTAATCAAGATGGATGCTGTTTCTCAAAAAAAATTATGTTGAGATTTATAATGTATACAAATTTAAAATTTTGCTGTTTAAACAACCGCGTAAACGGCGACGCAGGACGTGACTTATTTATGTGGATTTTCAGGGGTAAAAAAAATCTATGATGTTTTTATATTCAAACTCACAAATAGGGAATGTGCGTCTGATTCAAAAAAGACTTAAATATATTTTATTACGATCAATATTCCTTTACAATAAAGTTTGTGTAAATATTTTTCAACATTTGTTCGTTTTCGTCTTAAAAATAATTATTGAAAAGTGCAAAAAAAATCAGTAACTTCAAAATATTCAAACGCCATGCTACTTGTCAGAGCAGATGTGATGAAAATGTACACATATACGGATGATGCAAAATAAACAACAGATTACAATTTAAATTATGTTTTAGCATTTATTTTTATTTCATCAATTTGGTATACCTTTGGTTATTAAAAAAGTAAGTAAACTTGTGTTATAAAATGTTAAAGTAATGGTTATAACCAAAATGGACCTTATATTTTTGTTAACAAAAAGTTTGATCATATTTTTACTTTGGGCCACTTTTTCTGCCGCTGAGTTTAGTTGATCAATTTTGGATTCATATACTGGAAAATATTCTTAGTGAAAAATTGTTTGGGTGGATTGCCTGAATACTGATGAGAATAAGTTCTGTAGTAGCGAAAAAGTAACTGTTAGGTCCTGGGTAGCTCAGTGGTTTAAGCAGTCTGGATTGAAATATGTCGTGAGTTCGAATCCCATCTGAAATTCCCATCGCAAAATTGATCAAATATAATAGTTATAGTACCAATTTACCCAAAAATGACGTCACGCGCTCTGATTGGTGTTTCTATTGACATGAGACATAGACGACAAATATATAAAAAATATTTTTTTTGTTTATTGATTTTGAAAAATAAGTTATAATTATTCAGGGAAAATATGCTATAAATAATTTTGTAATTTTATGAATTATTTAACCGCACAAAATTTAATTTTTTATCTAATACGGAAGTTCAAATACAACTTGTAATGCTAATAAAATGTTATTTATTTATAACAATTAAATAAGACGTAACTGTTCAAACTGACAGCCGTATGACAGTTAACTAGGTCTATATATTTTTTTTATTTCCCGGCCTTACAATATTGGCCGAGCTTTCTATTTTTCCCCACTTTTTAGCAGGCCCTTCTTACTCTATTTTTCTCTTTCACTCTATTTCTCGCGTTTATCTAAACTAGGCATATTGATACGCTTTGAAAAAAATAACTTTCAATTAAACAAATCGATCCTTTGGTAGTTAAATTGATATTCATTATTTGTGTTAAATTATCTTTAATAATATTCTCTTGGACAAGTTTAAAAAGTCGCGATTAATCTATCTTTTTTTTATTTATCTTTTAACGCTGATTTTATCGAATACAGTCCTGACACAATCGATTCTGTCAAAATGTATATACGTTCCTATCGTCAGTGCTGTCATTCTGTGCAGTCATTTGCAATATGACGTCATCGTTTTTCTTGTATCTGTGCAGTCACGTGACCTAATAATTAAAAAGTTGTGGATGCTTTTACCGGCAGATCTTCATGTATGCTCTTGAACACGGTTGGATCCGTATAGAATTCCGGTATGCACTCGTCTGGAGTCCATTCCTGCATACGCTGGATGGAGGCAGGATACTCGGCGGGTACCCATTTGTTACGAACGTACTTGCACAACACTTCCTTTGGAGTTCTGTTAAATAACGATTATTTTTGGTATAACAAAGAAAACTTAAGAAGGTCATTATCATCAGCCCTTTTGCATTCCCACTGCAGGGGCTTAGACATTCCTTATGGTTGTTTAAGGAGACTGGGCCAATACCCTCTACGCTGGCCCAATGCGGATTGGAGGGTATTAACGATTGCAAATGCAGCCGGGACCAACGGTTTAACGGTCTTTCTGAAGCACGGAGTAGCTCGAGATAATTTTTTGGTCACCCATCCCTTGCGAAAGTTGCTTAATTCACTCAGTAGGTCCGGCGTGATTGACAGACAAACATCTAAACATCCAAACAAAGAAACTTTAACATTTATAATATTAATAGGATAATAAGAGATTACCAGACAGTTACCGAAATTAATAGACTAAGAACGTCGACTTTTAAACTCGAAGCTGTTAAAATTAAAATATTAATTATATATTAATTAAAATTAAATTTGAAAGGTGCTTTAGTCGGGAGTGTTCTTCACTATGTTTGATGGAAATCGATCCAAGATGACCGCCGCCACAAAATGTCGGATTACATATTTTGTCACGATTCCGTTAATATGGGTATCAAATAAGAGGGCTTGAGTGGTAGAATACTGTACACTATGACAAATTTCAAATCCAAGATGGCCGCCACCAAAAATGTTGCATTACCTACATATTTTGTCACGACTCCCTCAACACGAATATCAAATAAAAGGGCTTGAGTAGTAGAATACTGTATACTATGACAAAATTTTAAATCCAAGATGGCCGCCGCCACTAAATGTTGGATTACATGTTTTGTCACGAATCCCTCAATATGGGTATCAAATAAAAGGGCTTAAGTAGTAGAATACTATACACTATGGCAAATTTCAAATCCAAGATGGCCGCCGCCAAAAATGTTGGATTACCTACATATTTTGTCACGACTCCCTCAATACGGGATATGAAATAGAATACTATAGGTACACTATAACAAATTACAAATCCAAGATGGTCGCCATCTTCATCTGATATGTAATTTGTCATAAAAGTGCGAAATTATATAATAGGTACAGACAGCCACATATTGGGTAACCACCATCTAACACTGAAAGAATTTTTCAAATCGGACCAGTAGTTCCTGAGATTAGCGCGTTCAAGCAAGCAAGCAAACAAACAAAAAACTCTTCAGCTTTATAATATTAGTATAGTTATATAACTATGAAATACTTGTACGAAAGTAGAAAAACTAAAAGAAGAACTTGAAAAAGATAATCAACAATTGAACTGAATTGCAACTGGCAAGAAAATTAATAAAAAATTAAGGGATCTCTAAAAAAGCAAGAAAAAATAAACAGTTAAATTTAAAATTTAAAACACCCCTGATAAAGAAGTAGGTTATAATGTACAGACCTTGACCTACTGTTGACCATACATATGATTTTATTAAATGTTTTTTAATTAAATGTTGTCGCGTTAGGGTCCCTAGGGATACCCTAATTGATATTTGTAACAATTTTCAGCTAGATCCAAAAATAACCAAACATTGTCACAATAAATCCGTTCTTAGTATGCCTCAATGGAATGTACCCTACAAATTTCAAGTCTCCACAACCAACAGTTTAGGCTGTGCATCGTCTGTCGGTCAGTATGTCATGACATCTCCTTTTATATAATGTATAGATAATAGTAAATTACGTACCGCCTTGCTAAATATACATAGCAGGTAATATCAGACAGAGCATCAGATATATGGTGTGGGATTTGTTCTGGACTACCCACGTCATATGTCATATCCAATTGCCTGTCGCCTTTGTTCAAGCGATATTTAGATTTAGACAAATCTCGCCAATTTTGACCTGAAATATATACAACCCCATGATCAAATGATATGGTAAATTGAATAATGTACAGGGTCTTCGTCAGGGAATGTTGAACATATAAAATGGGGCGCAGATGAGTTAGTCTGCTATTTATCGCCAAAGATTTCACCTTTTTCTAATCATCATTTTTTATTTTTATTTTCTGCTACTTTCCTAGATTTAAAAAACGATTTTTTATATTTTAATTTTACTTAATTACTCAACAACTTATGTACACAAATTTCTTGCAGCTCCTCAAGTTTGCAGTTTCCTTAGTCCAAATCCTTGAT